CTAGAGATGTACCCAAATGCCGTATGCCACAGTGTTCACTCCAGGACCCAGTCTGTGAAGGAAGATTCACATTCTCCCAGAAGAGCAAGGGGGACAGGAGACAGCAGTGATGCTGTTGGCTGCTATTGGTAATCATCAAGCTCCTGCCTGAGGGACAAGGAAACAAATACTTGTCTCATAAACAAGGCTTCATGTTTCTCAATCCAGATAAAACTTCTGCCTCATCCACTGACCATTAATGGCAGAGCCTGTGGGGCCTGGCAGGAAGACCAGCCAGAAGCCTGTCTGTCTCCTGAACTAACGGGATTTGTGGAGGCTTTGCTCAGGTCACCTGGACCTGAGGCAGGGCGGGGTGGGGGGGAACAGGAGAGACAGAACCTCTCCAGAGTAGTGCACAGCTCCTGGCACACCAGGTGCCTGTGAGCAAGGGTGTCCCTCCCTTCCCACTGTTCCAAGTGCCTTACAAGCACTACCATCTCCTGAGACCCCTTCCCTGGGGAAGATTCTGTGCTATGGAGGTGCCCACTGAGGCTTGACAGCACCCAGCACAACACTGCCTGCACTCGAAGGCACCCCCTTGCCAGCACAGCACAATGTCTTGGGCTGGGCAAAGAGCTTTCCATGGGTGGAGAGGTTCCTGCTCCACTGCCAGGCTCAGGCTCCAGCCCTACAGACACACATAAGCTTTTGTCGAGAACGAGACAAAGTCCTTTGGGAGCTAGACTCAAAATACAGATTCCCAGAATATGCAAAATGGAGAATAAAGTGCTTGTCATGGACCTTTCTGTATCTGCCTGACAAAAACCACTCCTATGGGAGTGAATGGAGAAAATCCCTTTGGCAGCAGCTACGGTACAAATACCCTCCAGGGGGAAAAGAATAATAATTTACAGTGATACCTTTTTCTTCCTCATCCAAGAGGTGGTTAAGGATTTGGCAGGGAAACAGTGGAGGAACTGATCAGCCTACCTGTGATATTAAAGTGTGATAACTTGTGTGTGAATGCCTCCAATTTATAGCCCAACGATATTAAGCTTTATTTAAAAATAAAACAACCAGCTTGCCTTTTTTTGTTATAAGATTAAAAGCACAAACAGGGTACAATTCTTAAAAGCCAAGATGATTTATCAGCAAGGCATTCCTCCAGCAGGGAAATCTTCCCTGCTTCCTTCTGCCTGGAACGGCACAAAGGGTAACAAAGTTATGAAATTACATTTCAACTATGTTTGCTTGCTTTTTGTCTCCCTCATTTCCCCCTTAAATTTAGTCTTAAACCCTCATGCCATGTTCTCAGGTGGGTATATTCACAACCACCGGCAGGCTGCTGTTCTCCCTGGGCGGTTCTTCCCTATGAGGGTGCCCAGGTGTGATAATCTCCTGCCACTTAATTGACTCAGGTAATAGGCTGCTGCTCTAATGCATCAGGGTTTAGACCTTATCGCACACACACCCACCGCTGCCACATCTTCCCCTGAGGGAGATGCACCCTTCCCTCCCCTTGGGTGCCCGCAGGGGCTCCCTCCCCATCTATTTCTTCCTCCTCTCCTGACACGTGGCAGGGGAACAGGTTTGCCAGGTTTCCGATTCACAGGGAACAGCAGAAAGCCTGACCTACCCGACTTCGTACCCCATGGGTCTGAGAACAGAGAGGGGAAGAGCCTGGGCTCCCACTTCGCTTTCCTGATGCGAGGCAGTTGTGCAGAGGGGAAAAGGGGTTGGTGCCTCAGTTTCCTCAGGCACTGAGGGAGGGGAGAAGGGAGGAAAGTGTTTTCACTCCCTTGCAATAACCTGTGGGGCAAAGCCTGAGCCTAAGCAGAGAGCCAGGTGCTGGCTGTAGCTCAGATGGGTGGGAGAATGGGGAGAAACAACCCAGGCTGTCCCTGGCACCTCTGTTTAGGAACAGGCTCCATCACAAGGCTGACTCAAATTCTCAGTATGTGAGGGCAGCCCAGCCCCTTCATGTCTTTTGCTAAGCTAGTAAATGTTAGATTAAGTGCTGGCAGATGACTCCACTTCCCTTTCCTGGTCCTAATCTCTGCAATTAAGACTAGTGATTATTTTGGTTTCGGAACTTTATATACAGCATGACCTGAAAGTGGTCTCCTGGGTCTGGGGAATGAGGGTGCAGCACAACGGGGATGTGCTCAGCACCAGGAAAGACAGAAGCAACAGCTCAGGCTGGGGATTGCTTGGTCGGTGCCTGAGGAAGCTGAGTTGCCCGTGTCTAGAGGAGATGAGAGGCTTTTCTGTGCCCTCTGCCCTCCCATCTCTCTCACACATTGCTCCACACTGCAGCAAATGACCCCCACCCTCCTGTTACAGGAATTAAAAACCAAAGCCCCCAGCAGAAACCACATCATTATTGGTGTTCTGTGGGTGACATCTTCCTCTCCCTCCCACAGTGCAGGGACCTGGCTGTGGAGCTCCTGTGTCTCTGCCGTACACCTCCCACTGCCACCTCTCCAGGCAGAACCAGAGATGCTGGTGATCAAAACCCCTCGCTAGGACAGACTAAAGAGAGCAAAGTGAATGCAAGGTACAGGCAGGGCCCGTTCTTTGAAGCCTTCCTCTGCAAGCAAGGGAGCATGTTGGCACATGCCGCAGGAGGAATACTGCTGTGTCTGATCGCTTTGAAGACCGGGGGGTGGAGGGAGAAGAGGCCAGTTAAGTGTGTTTATGTTTGAGAGGAACAAAGGAGAGTGGAGGAGAGAGTAGGGGGTGCCTGCAGCCAAAGATGTGTCAGAGATCACTTACTCCTCCTGGGCCAGAACAGCAGCCTGGGACCACCAGCAGAGGAGCGAGGAAGCGGTGTGTGCAGAGCCCTGTTCAAAGCAGGGAGAGGAAAGTTAAAGCAGAGGAGAAAGAAAACTCCCAATAGACTTAGGATGGTGATAATCAAGACACAGGTTAGACACTGGGGTGTGTGAAACAGTACAAGTATACCACAGCAGATAGCACTGTACCTTGCTTGGTCTTGGTGTCCCTTGCGGAAGGCTGAGTACATGAAGTTTAACCAAGTCAAAGAGAAGGAGTCCTCCACTCCACCCCAGCTGTGCCATCCTTTACAGCAAATGAAATGCGGGTCTCCCTGTTTGCAACACTGCCTGGAGTATTGCAAACACTCCTTTCCTAGGGGGTTCCAAGCATTGCCCTGTCAGCCTTACACTGCACCCCAGCAAACGACAGGGGATACAGTTAGAGGTATTTATGGAAGAGCCACCCACCAGCAGCAAAAAACCCTAAGTGCTTCTGTATTTGCTGTTTAATGCTGTGATGGGAACATCACCTGCACAAGCCCCTGAGTGCACTGCTAACAGTCAGTTCCCGGCAAGAGAGAAAGCACTTGCCCACGGTCACTGCCATTGCACAGCACCAGTCCCTGAAGCAAGCCCTGTGAGCACACAGAAGGAAGGTGCCACTCAGGCTGCCACCAGAGATGATACCTTCTACTTCCCAGAGGCATTAGCTCTGTTTCAACAGGTCCAATCTATAAGTTAAACAATCCTGTTGCCAAGCAGAAAGCAAGATAAATGCAGTGAGCTATTTGTTCTTACCAAAAAGAAGCCTGCATTCAAGGACTGGTTTTATTGCACTGGCTGAAGGCAGACTTTATGCAGACACCCTGTGCCAGCCCCAGGGCCAGAAAACCTCTGCTGCAGGTCACTAGTGAATTAACCACACTTAGGCAGGGAACAGCTGAGTGCCTGTGGCCAACAGAGGTGTGGAACAGCTCCGGGGGTGTGGTGTAGCCACAGATCTACCTGCAGTTTCCCTCCAAAAAAAAAACAGAAGAAAAAAGACCCTAAATGATCATACACCAAAGCTCTTTTGGTCTGCTGAGGGAGGGAGGGAGGGCAGGAAGCACATCATACACTAACAGGTATTTCCAAGTTCTCAGTAACCATCCATGGAAGCAGAGATGGTTCAGTAACTAAGTTCTCTTTGGTGTTGCCAAAATGCTTCTGCAGATCCACCTGTATTGCAGCATGTGAACTTTAATACCGTGTGCCTTCCCTACCTTCCAATTTTTAAAATTCACTTTTAAAATGCAGATTAAAAAAAGCCCCCAAACTAGTGGACAGCCCTCTTTGGAGAAAAAAAAGCCAAACTTGAATGAGAAAAACATCCAGGTTTAAACAAAGACCTGGGAGACAACATTTTCCCTCCTTTTTTAGGTGGTTAGGAAACCAGCACTCTTCTCCATACAGCACAACATATAACCAAAACAAGTACTAGCTTTGCAACAGGAAACCAAAACTGGCAATACTTCTTGTGTTCTTGAATGCTAATGCATAAATACTGATGACGAGACTTAAGGCATACATAAGAGACCCACCTCCATGGTACCTGTGATTTCTGCCTGTAAGAAACTTAAATTCTTCTCTTGATGGCAATGGTAGGTAAAGGCTGAAAGGAGAACTGTATCTGAGACCCCCACGGATTCACAGCACTGACTATAACTGCAGCGCTGCTTCTGAACCTCCAGCAAATACGGTATTTGAACTTAAGAAACCAGTAAGCACAAAGCAGTTAAGCAGTAAAATACTATTATGCCTGAGAGCAACAGTTTTCAGCTAAGATCCTAAACTTAAAGGGATGTTTTATCAAAAGGTATTCGAGTCCCATCAATCACTACCTGCTCCTTTTACAAGAGTCCCTGGCAAGGCTTCACTCCTGCTTTCAGATTTTCCTCCAGCCGCCCTCTTGTGTCTGCATATAGACTTACAGGCAAGCCCCATCCCCTCTCCCGTGAGGTGGACCCAGGAGGCCCCAAGGAAGACAAATCGTAGCCATTATAAGCTTATCATAACCAAGCTGAGAAAACAGCACTGTGTTGCCCTTCTCTTATTATAGCCTGCAAGCAGTTATGCCATCTGCACGTTTCTTTGCAAGATCCATCAGCTGAAGTCACAAAATGATGGGTTTCAAGCTCATGTACATACTTAAAAGCGGGAAACGGACATTTTAGCCACAGAACAAACATGACAAACAAACACTGCTGTGTCCATCTTCCCATTTTATTTGTAAACTCCAAAATGATCCAGTGGGAATGGTCAGCTTCCCCTCGAGTCTTGGTTAATGAAAGCAAAAGACACATCAGAAGTTACATCATACTGCGCCTGAACCTGCAATTGGACTTTCAGGACACAGTGAGCAATATTATCCAACTCAACTTTTACATACAAATTTGCAAAATGCTGGATTAGCACATCTACAATTGTGAAGTCACAACTTTTACTGGGCAAACAAAACTTCTGAGAAAGCAACATACTCAGTCCTACTGTCATTTCCAGAAAGACCATGGAACACCTTCTTGTACTGAGGCAAGTACACCAGGTGCTGCGTTAAATGGGAGAGGGTACAGGCAGAGGGAAGGACTGTGCCTGGAGCCTAGCTAGTCCCTCTCAACTCAAGCAGAAGACCACTCCCAACTCCAGATTTCTTACCCATTTGCCACAAAACATGGAACAACAGAGACCGTGCATAAAGGTATCTGCAAACAGAGCAACCTCTTCCTCCCCAGGACTGCTATACCCTGCCTAACAGAGTACTTCCATATGCTGAAAGAGCATCAGGCACTCAGGTGTGGAGACAGCAGGTCTGATTCATATGCTGTCTTCACTGATGGAGGTGATCTTGCAGCACAGCAGTCAGTGACAACTCAGGCAAGCCTGAAGTCCTGCCTGTGGAATCATCAGACAAATGGAGGAAGAACTGCATATAGAAATCAAGACTTACTTATTTCTTTGCCCTTTCCTCACAAGAAAAGAACACCGTATAAGGAGAGGGCCATTAATTATGCCTAGGAGTGGTTAAAAATAGGAGTATCCTCAACTGTTGTGTTTCCAGAACAGGACTGTGATATCTGAGTGTCCTACAGAGTCCAAGAAGCATGGGAAGACGACGGTCCTAGTCAGTTTTGTAAGGCCTGGAGATGTCGGTGATTTTCTGATGCCTTGACAGTTCCTAACCTTTTATAACAGCAATAGGTCTCAGTTTAATGGCTTTTTTGCTGATGCCAGCTGCATGGCAGGTATTAACCACATCTGTCACATTCTTATAAGACTCTGGTGCCTGGAGGAGGAAGAGAGAAGAGAGTAAAACAAAAGACAAAACTATAAACAACCCAAAGTCACAGGAAGCTAGATGTAGGCTTTTGAGAGCCCCTCTTCACAAAAACAGAGTCAGATGTATTGAGGTGAACAGATTGAGAATCTGGCTGCCTTACATACCTGAGAAATCTATGAGACATTTAGGTTTCCAAATCAGCTTTCACCATATTTCAAATAAAATACCAGCTATGCTGGTTCAGCTTTCCCTATATTCTCAGATAATCCAGTCCACTAGCACGTGAGAATGTCAGGCCTCATTATCTGGCAGGAACTGACTCCAGCTTCCTCCTTACAGATAGCCTTTAAGATTTATCTTCACTGTCCCTTAGTGACAGGAATCAGGGCTCCCCCTCCAGCATTTTGACAGGGAAGCTGCTCTTAAAGAGAGACTTTAACACCAACAGTGCTAATAGCATACTTCCAAATGATTAACATGCTTCTATGAATGAGGTTGTGAACAGAAAAGACATTCTGCAGAGGAACTGGAAGTCACACTATTCAAAGTATCTAGCATTAAGAGTTCTCTTCTTCTTGACCAAATACAGAAATTCATCTTAAAAGAGGCAGATCTCTTATAACTATTTTCATGATGCTCACACAAAGACTTCTCAGGGTCAATTAGTAACTACCCTACTGCCAGGCAGAAGAGGAAAAAGACATACCCCCAAAACCTGTCAAACAGGCATCTCCCCTTTCAGCAGGATTTTAAGGACAGGGAATACACCTTATTTTCAAAAAGTTAAAACAGCTCATGCTCTATATTTAGGGTACTAGCAATCACATAGCCCTGCTAAAAAATGAATAAGGGATGGGCATTAAGCCAAAGAGCAAGATCTCCTTTTTCCTCTCAGATAATGAAGTATTAAACTTACTTCCTCCATGACCAGTTTAGGAGAAGCCACACGGATGGCAATGCCCATGTCAGCCAGCTTGTCCAATACATCCTGGAAGTCCAAGTTACGTCGAGATTTGGCTCGGGACAGCGCGCGACCCTAAGACACCAGTTTTGTCAGTTACAATTGTTTTTACTGGTTTGCAAAACCAGAACTCTTCCTTATTAAAGAAAAATGTGATTACATTATAAGTAAACACAGAATGGCTGAGAGCATAGACCACAGTAAGCCGCAAAACAAGAAATTATTTTAGATTTTAGGTGATGGGCTCCTGCAGAATTACACATCTGATATGGTGGCCAGGAAAGCTCCATGTGTTTAACATACTAGTCTGCAAGTGTCTTTCTACCTACACCACTTGTCAGACAGTGTTCAGAAGTCAAAATCTTACTCGAAGCTATTTCTCTTCCTCAGTCATCCTCTCACACTGTAAATTGTAGGAAAGGAAATACCTTATTCTAACTACTGAGGAGTTTTATATGCCTCAGCACAATTAATCCTTCTTGTTAGCTCACAGATGCCAGAATCTGGTAAAAGGAGCTCATTCTCCACATCTTCATCCACATCATTCATTTGCTTTGCCCCCTAAATTTTCTGCAGTAGTCAAAACTACTCAGTAACATAAAGGACTTCCAGCCTGCAGTCCTCCTGGGCTGGGATTACTGTGGCAAGGTTACTCTCTAGCGATATGACTAAAGGATGAATCACACATTGTATGACCCTTGAACAACCCTGTTCTCTGAATGATAGTCCCATTCCAATCCCTTCCTATCACTTTTTGACTTACAGCTCCATGGCAAGTAGTTCCGAAGGTCTCAGTCATGCCTTGCTCTGTGCCAGTAAGAACATAGCTACAGGTGCCCATAGTCCCGCCGATCAAAACAGGCTGTCCAGTCAGCTGTGGATGCAAAGTTTTAAGTCACAAGAAAAAGCCTTAAACTCATTCCTAATAAAAGTCTGAAAGGAACCATGTCTCCAGAAAAGGAAGTCAGATTCACATTCCCCCAGAGCATTCCTGCTTGCCTTGGGTGGTTGGTATCAAGGATTCTGGAGAACTAACTGCCTTTGTTGGGTGTGGAGCAGAAGAGAGAGCTCAGTGCCCTAATCTAACACTCAGACAAGCAGAATATTGCCATCCCACTAGGGTTCCAGTGCTGTTAGCTCAAAAAAAGGAACTCACAGCGTTAGATCTCTGTCAGGGAGAGAGATGAATTGTCTGATCCCTCCAGAACTGTCTTCCAATTTACTTCTCCCACAGTTAAACTTACTTGATAATCAACAGCAATAAGAGGATGGTGAGGAGGGAAGGCTCTGGTTGATCCCTTTCTGTGCACAAGCAGAGTCCGCTCCTTTCCATCCACTACATGTTGCTCTACTTTGGCAATGTTGTGAGACACATCATAGATAACATGCATATCAAGGTCATCTGGGGTTGTGTTGAAGACTTTGGCAAAGGCCTAAAAAGAGAGCAAAACAGGATGTGAACTACAAAAAGATAACTGCTATGTGTATGTGGAAGAGTTAAAATCTGTTTAGAATTAAAAGGAAGAAATTTGCTTGAAATCATTTTATATGGTAAGTCAGTGACCTAAACACTTGGCATGGCACATATGAAACGTCAGTTGAATTCAGCCAGAATGGCATTCAGTACAACAAATGTGTGTGACAGAATTGGACTATCTAAATTGTTTATCTGCCCATTGGCAGCTTTAATGCTGGAATTCAGCCAGATACTGACAAGATAAATTCCTGCAACTCTGAAAAGATGGCTTTAGCAGTGTAAAAACAATTTCCTTGCATCCTCTTCTTCCAGTTGAAGGCATTTTAAAAAATATTGCTTAAGGGGCTTCTGCAAGTACAATCCAGTGGTGGTGAGAGGATTTATACAGACTGTAATGACTGCAGCTTTGTGTAAGTCTCTCCAGAAAACATAGTTTAAGAAGCACAAAAATGAAAATCACATTAAACACAGCAGCTGCTCTGTGTTCTGTATGCCTGGGATAAAGCAGGAGATTCATATCAAAATCTCTGTATCAGAGACAACTCTGGTCCTACCTGTCTTGTTAGAAAAGTCATAGAAGAGCGGTTGACCCAGGCATAGTTTCCAGCAGCTGCCATTCCCTTCAAGTAATCCTGCCCCTCCGCAGAAGAAATCCTGGCACATGCCAGCTGGCGATCATTCACTATGATTTTGTCCCGTTTCATAGCTTTTTCCATAGCCACCAATGCATCTGGGGAATAAACACAGTATGACCAAGTGACTTCTTAATTTTGTTTCAATCTGTTGAGATGGATGTCTATAATTTATATTCTAAAATTAAGCTCATCTGTCCGAGGGTCAAACCTATGGTGTCTTCTCAAATGCAAAAGCTAATCTGTGGCAGAACCTTATCAATTGTTTGCAAATATACAACCCCTGTCAAGGCAATTCAGAGTAGACTCGGCAATTGCACTCTAAGAAATGCTCTTTGGTGCTACAGTTTACTGCCAAGGACATGATCACACTGAATAGTTTGCTTCACTCCAGTTCCCTCTGCCAGTCAGATCATACCTGTAGCAACTTGGTGGCCCAGACCTCTGCTGCCACTGTGGATCATCACGCACACCTGCCCTTTGTGGTCAATGCCCATCTTCCTGGCAGCATATTCATTGTAAATGTCATCCACAACCTGGATCTCCGCATAATGATTTCCAGCTCCCAGGGTCCCCAGCTGCCAACCAGAACACACTGATTAGAACTGCCAGTAAAGCAGCCTCTGGGAGCAGAAGCGTGAGCTACGGGAATGGGGGCAGTAGGGCAAATTTCTACACCAAGGTTTTGATTTTAGAAGTTTTTCTAGGAAAAAAACTGCACAAATCCCCATATAAACTGAAAGGAAGTAGAACACAGAAGCATCATGACTGTCCTCTTTGTTCAGATTTATAACTATTTTTACCATTAGGAACAAGACTGCGATTAAACAGAAGGAGCAGGATCTACAGCCTCTGCCACCACTTTTTTCCAACTGACTCAGGCTTAGTTGAAAGATGGGAAGAGTACAGAGTATTGGGAATTTATCTTCAATTTGTATAGGGAAGGCAGACATATAGCCTTATCCTTGTGGAGTTGTAACCAAGTAAGTTACAACATCCTGTTAATTATGTACTTTGAACCTTTCAGTATATTAAAGCAAGATATTCAATTTCCAAGACCAAATTTTTTCAACTCCGTAACAGATGATAATTTACTTGCAAGGCAAATGTGAAAACTGAGGATGGAAGATTACTGTCAGGTCAGAATGTTACAATCTTGAAGTACCACAGCTCATAAAACTCATCAGATAAAAGAAAGCTTTACAAATGTATCATTAGTATAGCCATCTCAAAAGTGTCCCACACAGAGCAATGAGATCCTATGTATAGAAATGAAATCCTGCCCTTGAACTGCAATTGAAAGTTACAAGCTAGTTCTATTTATTATTGTATCCTTCTTCAGCATGCTATTAACTTGCTGAGCAAACAAGAAAAGTTGCAGAGTAACTTGCCCACTTCTGAAAAACAAAACTCCAGCTGGATGGGGAAATGCCACTGAACATGAATTCCAGTCCCAGGTGTTAATTGATGAAAAATGGCCTCAGGGACCTTGGGTATGTCCAGTATCACTTCCCTATGTTTAAATTCTGTCAAGAATTATTCAGAAACAGCTGCAATATCTCACCTTTCTCCCTAACCAGAAACGCTAGGCAGAATTTAAAGAAAGACACAAAATTAGAGAACTACTTGCTAACCTTTATAATTGAACCCTGGGAGTCCTTACAGCCCTCCAGAAAAACAGTATTACCTGAGGCAGGCCCCTCTTCTTTGCTCTTGAGGAGACCTTGTTGGGATCAGCCTGCAGCATCCTTCCATATTCCTCACAGTGCTCCTTGTCCTCTGCCCAGGCATAGCCCTCCCGGAGAGACCAGTCCACACCCATCTCTAGTGCCTCTTCCAAATCCCTTCAATTATCAAACACACACATAAGGTGGTTATCCTTGGATATACTCAAAACACCACTGGATATGGCCCTGATAAACCTGATGTAACTTCATTTTTTTGACCTGCCTTCAGAGTTAGCTCTCCTTCATGCAAGGAGTTGTAAGAGATGACCTCAAGAGATCCCATCCAAACTAAATAATTCTGTGACCTTACGATGAGCCCCTAATTTCTAGTAAGAAGTTCAACATCTTAATAGTTCATGAAAACGCTCTACAAATATATTAAATATATTAACTTCAGATGGGTCATTACTTTGTCCTCTTTGTTGTGTGGGGAATTGCCTATTTTCTCTCTTACCCGTTTAAAAAAAATACCTTAAGGTTCATGGAGGTTTTCTGTCAGAATAAATAAGAACCTTTCAAGAACTTTTAGTTATTACAGGGTTTTAAATGGGGGAATAAACACCTGACTTAGTGCACTGATGATTGTACCAGTCCTCCTGGAGAAGCACATATGCAGAAAGACTGGAAAGAGTTTTCTGGAAAGAGTTATTTTTTTCTTTCTTAAAGTCTCCCACTGATGAATCTGTCATTAAAATAAACACCAGAGAAGTCCCCTCCAGTAATGTGTGCACAATGTCAGTCTCTTACTTGGCATTCATGGGGATGACACCTTTGGAGCCAACACCAACAGGAATATGGTCAAACATAGCCTGGGCAAGCTGCTCTTTCACAGGCTGCACATCGCTTTCATCCAAATTTGTACGCAGTAAGCGGACACCACAGTTGATGTCAAAGCCGACACCACCTAGAAGCGTGGAAAAAGCCATGAGGTTAATAAAGAAATCATTCTGATGGTGTGCACTTGCTGAATATTCATCTTAAATCAGTGTCCCTCTGACAGGGAGCAGCGCTGAACACCGCGCTCTTACACCTTCTTTCTGACACAATACTGCAAAAAAAAGCAGAACTCAGTAAGCATTATCTTAATAGAATCACATGGAGCCTCAGATTTCAAGACAGTCAAAAATGTAGTCTTGAAAAGAACTTGAAAACTCTTAAAAAACCCTCAGTTTTTCAGTCTCAAGCATATGCTCCGCAGACATAGCTGTACATTTACCTACAGAGCTCTGCATCTAGCAAGTTGCTCCAGCAAGCTGACAAAGTAGACACAATTATAAAATATCCTGTCACAGAAAGTAGAGAGGATGTTCCTGTTCTTCTGCCTAAGGTCAGAAGTGACAGATATTAGCATGGCTCCCTGCTGTAAGATGTTCTCAAAAGCAAGTCCTTTCTGAATCTTCACTGGAATAATAATAACTACCTATAATAAGTGATAAATACTTACAAGGAATATTAAACTTCAGTGCTTAGTATTTTGCTTAACTTTTACTATTTAATAAAAATAAATACTGCAGAGCAACGCCTAATGTGAAAGATCACTCATGCCACCTTTAGTATGAAGGTTCTGGTATTAACTAGTGTCAGAGATGGGGATACCAGACTAACAGATCTTGGGTTTGAGTCAATCAGAAACACTGGAACTGACTGAAGCAAACCTGAAACATGAATATCATATTTCATGCAACCACAAAAGCATCTCCAGACCATCAGTAATTAAAGACCCCGGTGTTGATTAAAAAGACAGATGTATTTTAAAGTCATATTTTTAATCAAGAGTAGAAATATTCTCAATAGAATTCTCAAACATTGCTCAAGGAAAATAATGAGGTTTTTATCAACCTGGTGAAGCCCAAGTTGAAAGCCTTGACCTCTCCCTTCAAAACTGAGGGATATCATGAGCCCAAGCCACAAACACAAGGCTTTACTGTTTAGATGTTTTCAGTGTAATCATCTGCTCCATAAAGAATAAGGATTCTGAATGCAAGAATTAGGCATCTTTTAACTCCCTATTTTTTTTTTGGCTTTGGTTCTGTATCTGAAGTAAAGACCTGTCATTTCATAAAGTGGTTTTGTGCCATCCCAGACATTTCTCAGTGAAGATGAAGTCAGTCATCCTTACCTGGTGAAACCACTGCTTCAGGATCATTCATATCGAAGGCAGCCATGTTGCCAATGGCAAACCCATAGCCAGAGTGGACATCAGGAAGACCTATAGATCTCTGAAAGAGGATGAAAGGCATTGTAATGTTGTATGAAACTCTACGCTGCACGGTGTTGTCTTGGTTATGTTTTGCCTTGTGGCACCGGTTGTCGCATTAGTAAACAAATACACAAAAAAGACAATGGATGTTCAGATGCAGATGAGATAAACACACTGGTTCAGGTAAAGTAAGTATCTACACTTCTGCAGTTACAGGACAGTCAAATAAAACAGAGTACAGATCTCACTCTGAAGCAAACACCCAGGGGCCAGTCATCTGAGAAGCCTTCTTGGCACTGCTGACCAGATCTCAAGAAAACCTAAGGGGAACTTAAGCCCTTAAACGTAGAAATTGTGATCTCAAGATGAATTCTAACCTAGCTTTTTCTTGGACTAAAGTGTCCTTGCATTCAAAATTTATGCAGGCAATAGCTTACTGGTAGCATAAAGCAGAGACATAAAAGTGAGGATGAGTTCATCTTTACCAAGTTCCACCTGGAGGCATCTGCAATATTTAAATACTGCAAATGTAACAAGGGAAGAGTTCAGTGCTATGGAATAGAATCATAAAACAGTCAGCATTTTCTCTTCCTATCTGTCACTGAACAATGACCAAAGACTGCACCCTATAGGCAGGAAAAAGTAATCCTTTTCAGGATGATATCCTGAGAGGACAGGACAAGAAAAGAATTATTTTCAAGGAATCTCTTCATATCATTACTAAGTAGAGAAAGTAAGAATATACTTCTACACAAGTCCAAAGGATATTTAAACTTGCCAGGCTAGATTAGGATGCCACAAACAGCATTCCACAATCTATTTGAGCAAACAAACATAACGCCCCAAGTACACAGAAACCTGTAAGAAATTGGAACTTTTCAATGTGTATTAAACAGTCACCATACAGTACCTTTCATTGGGATATGTGCTTCTTTTACCTATTCTTGCTATCACCAAGAAATCTCTTGGTTTGGAAATAAAATCCCTGGCAAATAGAAACTGAAGAAAGAACAAATTTTAAGAGCAGTTACTCACGTGAACAATGCCAGGTAACGCAGCCACATTCCCAATCTGTTTCATAGCAGGCAAAAAACCACCTGCACCTGAAGAAGAATAAAAAACAAAAGGTTAAGTTATCTGATGATTTACCGCAATAATCACAATGGAGCACTTCATAAACAAGTTGCTCAAAACACCGGAAAGTCAGAAGTCAGCTACCAGCAAGTATTGCAATCTGGCATAAAGCACCTACCATTATTCACGATCTGCAGCTTAATTAAACGAGGTATTACGCTAACGTCCTCCTGCTGTGTTAGTATCACCGCAGACCGATCCATGCTCACAACAGAAGCATGCTACCTGCCACACACAGTTAGTGCCATGCCAGCTGTCATATCTGGATCCACCCCTGCACTTCAGCTCCACACAGAGCAGACAAGCCTAAGTTATAGCCCCACTAAAGCAAATTCTGACAGCAGGCATTCACGAATGCTCTGGAGCACAGACAGCAACCACCAAGTCTGTGCCTACACATCCGATCCGGGCACACGACATGCCACAGCTGTGGGTGAGATGCCTGGCACGAAGTGGTTGGCAAAGTGAGAGAACTCATCCCCGTTTGCTGTCCCTCCCCACGTGCCACGCGGGACATACACCCGGCCCACCCCACTGTCTCTGCTACACTCTGGCTCCCTCAGGACGCACAGGCAGCTGGATGTGATCCCAGGCGCTCAGAGAGGCCACAGCAAGGAGCGTGTGAGCGTAGTCCCGGGGCAGAGGCCCCGCACTCTCTCCTCCTACTACACTCACCTCCTCCGCGGCAGGCATTGCGCAGCTCCTCAAACATCAGCTTCTCCAGCGGGTCGTTCACGTAGAAAACACCCTCCACCTGCGGGGAGAGCTGTCAGGAATGGCGACCGGCACCAGGCCGGGGCACCCAAACCGCGTCCCAGTCCCCCCAGGGTTGGGTCCCCCCACCCTCACGCACATGCATGTTGGGCACGAAGCCCTTCTTGATCCGCCAGCAATTCTTGTCGATCTTGTCCAGGTACTGCAGCTCATCGTTGTAGCTCCGGCTCATGGCGGCGCCGCTCCCGCCAGCTGCTCCCCGTCAGCACTGCCACCACCACCGCGCCGAAGCACGAACGGCCGATGGCGGCCGCCGAGGGTCAGACCGGGACGCGCAGGGGACGGGAACTGCCGAGGGTCAAACTTCCTGCAGAGCTGCAGGCCGCCGGCGCCCCCTGGTGGCAGCCGCCTTTCTTCGGAGGACTCCCGGTAAACGCTCGAGGTGCAGCTGCGGGCTCGCCGCGTCAGGGCAGGGACGCGCTAGGCGAGGCCGCCCGCTTGTTGCATTCAACTCTGTGGCCGGCCCGAGGCCGCCCGGTTTACTCAGGCACTGTGTCTCCCTCAGGGCTTGACTGTCACTTGTTACTTGGGGGAAGAGACCGACGCTCTAGGGCAGGGCAGTGTCAGCCTGCGGGTGTTTAGCTCCTGCTCTGCTGCAGGTGGGTGGGTGAGGTTTGCTCAGCTACAGGCAAGCAAAGCCGGCTTGCACCCCATCAGCAATTGCGTTTCTCAGCATGAGGGACTCAACTTTTTGCTGCTCAGTCCTGGCTTGAAAAGGACTCCGGTTAAGAAGCGAGAGGAGTGTGCCAGTGCACAGGTGGAGTCTTAGGTGGCCACGAAAGGGTGGATTGCCATGCTGGTGGCACTGTTCCGGAGGTCACCATGCGTAGGTGATGTCCATCGCTGGGTTTCTGTCCTGAGCGCTTTGGTTTAGGTGCAAGGCTGGATGTTTGCACTATGCGAGGTGGTTTGTGGGCTGCCTGAGAGCACTGCTCTAAGTGCAGTGTGTGGATGGAGTTTTAGGTGGCAAAGGAAAGGTGGATTGCTGTGTTGGTGGCATGTCCGGAGGTCACCATGTGTAGGTGATGCCCTCTGGGGAGTTATGAGTTTGATGGGGATGAGGACACAGCCTGCTCAGCTCTAGGTTTACTCACATGCAATGGGGAGGACGGACTGTTCTTTTAGGTGGGTAGCACTCTGTGATACTGCCTTACAGGATGGGGCACCACCCAGCTTTGGGGTGCTGATCATGGGATGCCTGGAGCTGGCTTCAATCTTGCTTTGGTTCTTCAACATTCCCTAGCTACTGCAGGGCTGTACTATCTTTCTTCTGACATTTATTAGAGAGAGAACATTCATCCTGGTCATTTGGCTTAAGTGTACAGGGACACACATCATGGCGAAAAGACCTTGGAGTGCTGAGACATTTTGGGAATCATTACTCAAAGGAAAGGAAACTGTACTACATGGAGCCATAAACTAACTTTTCCCCAGCTATCTAAAAGCAACTAGTCCTTGGCCTTGGGGTAAATATAGCTGGTCAGGGATACAGTGACTATTTTTGTGTGGTCGTAATAGTGTTTGTTAGCAAACTTGCTTTAAAAAGCCACACCTCTCACTGTGCCACAAACTGAAATAAGTATTAACTCAAGGTCACTCTTTTGGGTTACAGGAGAACCTAAAAATAAGGGCCTGTGGCATTGTGACATGGTACAAGAGAGCTGTGTAATTGAGAAGTCTGCAGTCTGGGCCATGAGTGAGCTAATGCTGGGAAAGACATAGGAGAGAAGGCCTCTATAAAATGAATTTTAACTATATTTTGCACCAAAAAGACAAAGGAAGTATAAAGCTGAGCTTACTGTTTTTTTTTCTGATGTGGAGACAATATTAGTCTGAAGTGTAAGTAAAAACATGGGCTCCACTTGCAATGAGGACATTTTCTGTGCTACCCGCATCACAAAGCTACAGAAGCTGAGATGCTCCGAGATGAATCAGAGTGGAAGCTCCTTCAGCTCATAGGTCACTGCAACTGTGCAACCATATTTTGAAATTTCTTCTTGTCTTCCTCTGATTGCTATCTGGATGGAAATTGGGAGTTTTCAGCATTGTCTGGGGATGCTGAAGCTGTTACAGTCTGACCAGCCTCCCAGTGAATCTCAAATGCTTGCACGTGGATGGGCTGTGTACTCATCACTTGTACACTATACAAGGGAGAATACATTGTTCTCCCAAGATATTCTGGTCCCAAATAAGGCACAAAGGTTTGTGTGCCACAAAATTTTTTGAGTGAGAAACCTAGGGAATTATTTGATGTTTTGTATTTAAGGTTTCAGACTGGGGGAGTGCCAAACAAGGAGAAAAGTTGTTAATTTCTATGAAGGATACAATCCTTAGTCATACTTACCTAGAGAGAAGCAAAAAGATTGTATCAGCATACATCGCAGTCATGACTCATTTCTCTTTTTAACAGTACCAGCTTGGTAAGGCTATTGAGTGTTGGTGCTGCACTTGGAGCACAGAAAGAATGGGATGTTTTATGGTCCTAAATTTGATTCATGGTTGAATGTCTCAAGTAATGGAAACTTTTACCACACCACTTGAGAGACCATTGTATTGTCTGCTAGATTTCATAAACAAGGAGTTTTATTTTTTATTTAGGTGAGCTGCTTGCTTCTTTCTGAAGAAATAAATGGCCAAATGAAAATCAAATCTGAAAACCTCCCCTACTGAGACTTTCAGTTGTTGCTGTTTTCTTCACATTTTCCTCCTTAAAATGCATTAGTTTCCAGTTGAAGGAACCTGAAGAAAATATGATTATTACCAAGAAATTTGCAAATTAGCACAGCTCAAAACACCCCCACAGCAGTGTTCTAGTAAAATGAGTGAGGCTGGGCTAAAACCTCTATATATTTATTTGGATCATTCTATATTTGGATTTAGCAATCCTATTACTGAGCTGAAATTTAGGACTCTTTAGATGCATTTGTCCTGGAAATAGCAGTGGTAAATTATTAGCTCTGATAGGTGGGAGGAGGAGGATAGCATCAAAGTTCAAACAAGGAGAAAAGCAATAGACATTTTTCCTTTTCTATTAAGTGTGTTTGCATATTTTCACCACATTCAGAAAATGAATAGTTTCTCTGGATGGACAAAATTAGTGGTTAAAGAGAAGCAGAATGCACTGAGTATGGGATGTGGGATATTGCAGTGCTATTATACAAATCGATGTTATGCCTCCAGCAAGAGTTTTCAGTTCAGTTTAGATCACCTCCAAGGAGGAGGAGACAGCAGCTGAGTCAGACCACCAGCATGTCTCTATGCATGGAAAAACTCCCATATAAAGAAAGGTTGTAACATTAGTGAAGAGATGGAGAAAGGAAGTGATGGGAAACATACATGTCATATAAGGTGCAGTGCTGGAGCAGATGTGACCATTAATCTCTTTTCTTTTATGAAACAAGAAGAAAGGAGAGTTTAGTCATGATGAAAGACAGGTAAAAGGAAGCTTTCTTCCATATGGCTGCTTTTTGTTTCTTGGAGTCCAGGAGTTTAGTTCAGCTCTAAACAAGGGTGGAAATTTCTGTGTTAACTCCAGTGTAATTACTGTAGTTGCAAATGCATTTTTATTTCAACGTGCCATTCTGGAAAGCAGAGCCCTGCCATATTCCAGAACAGAAGTCAAATTTGGATTCTGAGAATTTGTCAAGAAATGCTCCTGGGAGACAAATGATCACATAAATGTCAACTGCAGCATTTCTTAAATGTTTCTGCTCCAGTAATTGCCAGGAGTAATGTTTCAGCAGTATCTTTTGGGCTGAACGTGGACCTACACAACATTATGTTCATTATTCTCTGAAGACATGCAGCACTGAATTTTTCACCGTATTCCTGTCTTTACCACGGCTAAGTTTGCAGTTTATGTAAGTATTATCCTGCGCTGCTAAACTCATGCTACCTGCCAAGATTTGCAGCATCTCTCCTTAAGCTCAAATGACTACAAAAATCACCAGGTGGCAGCAGAGTTATATCTGGTCTCTTATCCTGAGCTGGTCACAGCTGCTTGCTCTGGCGTGCTCCTTGTAACCACAGTTCCCAGTTTTGCAGGGTATGCAAAGGCAGGTATACCTAGTGAGAAAGTACTTTCCTCTTCATCAGCAAAGGTTTTATGTTCTCCATTTGGTGCTTTCATGAAGGCTGGGTTTTAAGGGATGATTTCTTCAGATTTTTCTCCAGACTCCTTGGTTTTGTCCAGAATTGCCCCAGTTTGTAGCTTACAGATCCTAGTATATACACACAATAGTGTCTGCGTTTTTATGGTGTATGCTGCAAAGGTAATGCAAGGTAACTAACTTAACTTTGGCCAAGAGCAGAGAATGTCTCTGGAACTAGCAGAGGTTGGCTCCTTGGCTCAGGGATGAAACTGGCTAATAGGAATCTTATTAATGGCTCTGCTGTTGTTCCACTGTTGTGGTTGGTTTTGCTCAATAGCATGCTAAAAGCAGAATGCTGAGAGGAGACAAATACCCCAAAGGATTACAAAATTCAGACTAATTTTGGCCTGGAACAATCCTTAAGTTTGCTGGTTCTGGAATTTCACATAAAAAGGAGTATTTCCCAGACACAACCATTAGACATTGAGGCTCCATAGTAGTAAGTAGTCAGGTGGTCAGGATCTGATCTTTGTGGGTCCAATAGTTCCTTCCCTGCATGCTTCAATGACAAACTGAGCTCTGGAAAAGGGAAAGGAGGGAAAGGTTATTATGATTCTTATGGATTGCTTCTTCTAACAGAAAAAAAGAAAACCCCAAATCAACACACATTTTTATTCATCCAAAAAGAGATCTTTTCAGTGGAGTTTTAGGTCTCAAAGTGGATCAAGGGGCACCTGTATTCAAACCTACTGCAAAAGACATGCAAAATCACCTTTGCCAAGCTCTTGCAAAAGCAAAAGATGCTGATATGGAGTCTTCTAAAACTGAAACCTCCACTGAGGTGGAGGCCTCTAAACTCAGGGTCACCAAACATGGCCCTGGATAGACACTCTTAAAGGTTACCTCTTATGGAGCCTGTAAAATTACTGAATTTTATTTATCATTTTTTAATTGCTACCTGGGGGTTGGTGTGTCTGTAAATTTTCACAAGATTAAGGACTTAATTCTTATTCCCACAAGTGTCCCTGTGGTGGAAGAGATTCCTCAAAGTGGTGCTGTTCCACCCATTTTTAAAGCCTTTCTTACATAGCTGGGGTTCTGGAAAGGTAGAATGAAAGAAAAAGAGACTATTTTATGTATTTGCACATCCAGGCACTCATGCATTTAGGGCTGCAAACTTTCATTTCT